AATATGACATCCTGAATTAATCATCAACTCAAATGTTTCAAATTCTGTAACGCGAAGAGTGACACTAAATAAGAAATGTCAGTATGTTGTTCCAATTGAATACAAACCCTCTGTTTGGCTTAAGGGAAGAATGACACTAAACGAATAATGACATCCTGAATCAATAATCGACTCAAATACTTTAAATTCCGTAACACGAAGAGCGACACTAAATAAAAAATGTCAGTATGTTGTTCCAATTGAATACAAACCCTCTGTTTGGCTTAAGGGAAGAATGACACTAAACGAATAATGACATCCTGAATCAATAATCGACTCAAATACTTTAAATTCCGTAACACGAAGAGCGACACTAAATAAAAAATGTCAGTATGTTGTTCCAATTGAATACAAACTCTCTGTTTGGCTTAAGGGAAGAATGACACAAAACGAATAATGACATCCTGAATTAATAACCGACACAAATACTTCAAATTCCGTAACACGAACATCGACACTAAAATAAAAATGACAGTATGTCGTCCCAACATAGCAATTTTTACAAAATAATATAGCATAATACACGACACTTATCAAAATGTGACGGTATTCGTATTAAAGTTAATTCATACTTACAAAATATGGTCAATCCAAATCGCCTTTAACCAGAAAATGTCACTATGGAATACACTAGATGAAACCGTTTTTGTTAACTTCACAGTCACGAATGAAAAAATGGCGGTCTGTCATAACAGATCGACTCAACATTGTCGATAAAGCAGTTCGACACTAACGCCATCTACCGATGAATATTATAGTTACAATGACAGGTGTTTTTGCAAAAAAATAGTATCTTTGCGCGCTAAGAGATGGCACTCCTAACAGAAAAGCATCATTTTTCGTATAGTGACGGTCTTCTTATCAATGTGCGATTTGTCACTAAGAATTAGACGGTGAGAAAGGTTTCGAAATATTTCAATCGTGTTTTAAATAATATATTATAAGGTTTGTGAGTATTCTTTACGAGTATAACATCATGCAAAGACCGCCGCTGTACGAACCAAGTTGGAGAAATAGTTTATTTGTGGCTATTTTACTTGGAGATGAAGAGTCAAGAGAAACTTCGTAAGTACCTAAGTACCTACCTATTCAAGTTATGTTTCACTTAATATAGACATATGTATTCAAGAAAATAATACGAATTAACTGATTATTCTAGAGAAATCGTGTGCCGAGCTAAATTCAGAAAGATATCTAATCCAATGGATATCACTGAAACGTAGTTTAGAAATACTAGGTACCGCCTAAATAAAAAAGCTTTCAAGTACTTCTGTGAGCAACTCCAACAAAAACTAACCTTATAATGCTAAAATGAAATCAATAGTAGTCGAACAGCGGATGAAACCGCGAGGAAGTAGCTAGTATAAATTAGGTTTTCTAATAAGTATTTTTTTACAGGTGATTCTGGCTACCCACAGCGACCATGGCTAATGACGCCTACTCATTTTGGATGCGGTAGAGGGAACTCGTGGCCCGCACAATATACTGCAGTAAAAGAAAGAAGAGGCGATGCTTGTGCAAAGACCACACTGCATTATGCTCCCGAAAAATGTGTTTGACAACGGCTTGCTGCGTGTTGCATAATTTGGTCATAAATTTCAATGTGCCTGAGCAACAGGTAGATACAATAACAGCTGCAACAACAGCATCAAGACTTGTCTCATACCTCATCTTCTGTTATGAGACATGAAAATGATAGAAGCGATGATTTGATAAGTGAAAGGGCTATAAGGAATATTCTGGTACAGCAAATAAATATACTACACAGATGACCCAAGTGTTTTATTATTGTACATTTCCAAAACAGCTTACACACTAATCTAACTTAAAAACTATTCTTACCTATGTTTTTATAATAGGTAACTATAGTGAGACATTTTAAATTCAATTCTAACATAATCTTCCCTCATTCCAAAATGTAGTAATTTAAAATAAAACATGTAAATATACATTAATCATCTTTTTAACTAGATTAAATTTTAATACATTTATTGCCTCTCTCATAAGTTCCAGCCACTGAGCCTGTAAAAGGAGCTCTGCATCTCTCTGTCTTACTCTTCATTCTTCTCGTCGTAATTCCAAACGCTCTTGTTCCATTATATCATATGTTTCCTCACGCCGTTATCGTATCCCTAGCAAACTCCCTAGGTTTCTTATCATTCTCTAAACACAATTTGATTAAACTCCCTTTAGATTTTTTCTTCGGTCGAGGCTTCCAGCATTCTTTTTCTAATGGAGGATTGGCGACTGGTGGTGTCGGTGAACGGCTGGCTTCATGGGTACTGCGGAGTGGTCGGAACACTGAAGGCTCGCTGCTTGTCACTGGCATATTCCATGAAATCCACCATTATAATTCGTATTGGAGCCGATTCCTCCTCATTTTAAAATAAATTTAAACTAACCGCATAATAAGATAGCCGCATAATTATCTACAATCTACATTCTTTGTTTTGTTTGTTAAAAAAAAATACGTCAATAGCCGTCAAACGTCACCTTTGTCAAAAGAACGTTCGGAAATCGTAAATTATGTTACAAAATTTAAATAACCAAATAATATTTTTTTTCATAGATTAAGTCATTTTATATACTTCTTGACTCGTTTTAAGAATTATTTCACGTAATTAATATTTTTTCATTTAAATATAATACCACAAAAGGTGTAGACGAAGGTTGAAATATCTTTAAAATTAATTTTAGTTTTCAGACGAAATCTTTATGTTAAATTATGTTCAAGAATTCATTCAATTCGTTCACTTGGGTGCTTCTCTAGCTTACATTAGCATGACGTCACTAACGAATTCGATTCGAGCTCTCGCTAGACGATACGATAGGCTTCGTGCTGCGACATTCCGTTTTCGTCACATGAAGTATCGACGTCTCGATACGTTAACGTTACGATTACGATAGTCATTCGTGCTAGGCACTATGTTATCTTTCATTGCTATCGTGTATATTTATAAGGATGTAACATATGCACCCAAATAATTTTAATCCGCAACAAAATACATTGTCAGGCTGCCAATTATTCAATCTATAAACTTTTCAATGTTAACAAATGTGGAATATTCAATAAATTAAAAGCACCAACAAAGTTAGCATGTAACAATAACTTGCTCATACCTGTCTTCGGTTTATGTTGGTTCACTTAGTTTCATTAGCACCAGTATAGCTGCTATAAACAGCTCTGTTTATTAAATCATGCCATTATTTTGTTTTCTTTCATTTCGTTTAGAAAAAGATTTTTTACAATCATACATAAGCCAGCCGGGCCGCAACCGGGCGGGTCGGGCGTACCATAAACTAAAGAGGTATAGACTGTATAGAGTATAGACTAGAATAGAAGTAAGAAGACGGCACAAAAGGCTAGGCATAAGCAGACGTTAGACTAGGTGAAGATGGAGAAAAATCGTATTTATTTCTCCCATAAAAAAGCACACACCTCATCATTAACTTAAAATCGCGGGGAACTCACGTTTGTAATTGAGAAAAGCACTACTAGTTTCGAACCACAGAGGGGTTCTTCGAGAGTATGTGATTAACCCAAGATTTTTAGTTAATTTAGTATGTATTGGCTTCATCTAATTTTTCATAAAAATAGACGAGTAAAAGTGCCGTTTTATGGCCTATTTGCAAAAATAAATTCATTGTTTCATTGATAGTTAATAAAAACTCACACCTCATCGTCCATGAAAATGAACTCGCTTTTCCATCTAACATAAATGTATGTGTCCTATGTCCTCCTCTCCACATGTAGAATAGAGCTGGGGAATTTAAGACGAATTCATACTATTAGTGATTTTTCTTTATGTAGGTAACAATTTTATATAAATCAAAGAAGAAAGCAAGGATGTTTTATTGTTTTTATACGTTTTTTTATACCATTTGATTGTTTTACCTGGCAACTTTAATCGAAAATGTCAAATTGTAAATGAATGTTGAATCATTCATATTCATTCATTCAATTTACTCAAATTAATAGGCATGGGCGTTTTTGGTTTTGAATGCAAACTGATATTTATCCGATTTCAGATTTCAAAATCGATTTCAAAATCCGTTTTTTGAAATCCGATTTCTAATACGCCAAGCCTCGTCAATTCGCTTGCGTACGTAGATTTCGTTGGAATCAGATAGAGATTGCGCGATTTTCCTTCATGCTTTAATCTAGGCTTAGGACGAGCGGAAAAGTTTTATTTAAGATTACACGTAAAACTTTTCTGGCGCTGTTAAAAATCGGCATATTTACAATAATTTATATATTTTTTTTATTTGTTTTGTTTTTTTCACTGTTCAATAATACTTTTTAGTCACCTATTCTTTTGTGTAACAATTATTTCTCAACATAAACAGCCCTAGATAAATACATAGCAGTAAAGATGATATTGATCGCATTATAATAACAGTTAGTTATCCGAGAACCGAAATCTAAAACGAAATTCGCGCTATCTTTTTTACTCCGCTAAAGTTACGATAAGTTAGAAAGAGAGAAAGCTAATGTCTAACAAAATCTAAAACAAAATTCGCGCTATCTTTTTTACTCCGCTAAAGTTACGGTTAGTTAGAAAGAGAGAAAGCGAATTTCTAACAAAATCCAAATGCCAACTGGTAGCCAGTTAGCGTTTTGATTCCGTTTGGTGATGAGATTGAGTGATTTTATTGTCGATTCGTTTGGTGGTAGATCGTTAGCGTTTGGTTCGGCTAGGTAGATTTTTTAAATCCAATCTTCAAGTTTGAGAAATCGATACGAATCGATTTTTGTATGAAATCGGATTTTGAATTCGTTTTGATATATCGGACCCATGCCTACAAATTGACATTGTCATTGTCGGGACGGGATGATCTCCCGGGAAAATATTTAATGGTTTTATTAATTAAATAAACTGTAACCAAAGTAATTAAAGGTATCAACAATAAGCAATTAGAATTTTTTTACCAAACAATATTTTCAGCTAAGGTTTGAAACTATGGAGGAAAATAAGAAAAACAATGCGACTTTAAGTGTAGAAGAACTTAAAGTTAAGGGTAATGAATGCGTTAAGGATGGAAAGTATATTGAGGCTGTTTTACACTATACACAGGCTATAAAAATGGACCCTAATAACTACCTCTTATACAGTAACAGATCATTTGCTTTCCTAAAGTTAGATCAACATTATCTCTCACTGCAAGATGCTAATGAAACTGTGAGATTGCAGCCACAGTGGGCTAAGGTAAGTTTGTTGCTTTCTTTCGTTATATTTTAATCGAGAATGATGTATTATTTAATATAAAACTTACATGTTTCTCTCTTTATACATAATTTTGATAATAATGTTGATTAACCACATTTTTTGTAAACCACTTACTTTGTTTGCAGGGATACTTTCGTCGTGCCGAGGTCGAAGCAGCGAGCGAACTTTACGATGAAGCTATAATATCATACACAAGAGCATTACAACTAGATCCTCAAAATGTCAAGTTAATGGAGTCTATTAAAAATATATCCGATATGCAAAAAAAGAAAATTAAATGTATGTTTTTTATGATAATTAAACCTGAAACCTGTTATCCCTTATTAAATAACTTACAAATATGTCGGTTTTATGGTTTCGTATCCATTTGTGTGGCTTCATTAATTGTTATTTACTAGTGTTTGTATTTTTTCTTTCAGATAGTCAAAACATAATATGGATATGTACTTGTGTGGGTCTTATCTTTGGAATTGGCATTGTTGTTTTGGATTATAGTTTAACTGCAAATCCAACATTATCGGTAAGCATAATTGCCATTATTAATTTCAATTTGTATACATATTAAAATTTTTATTGTAGTCTATTTTTTATTCTTTGTCTTTTTAGCATCCCTTCAGTATGGTAGCATTTGCACTTGCTCTTGCGGGCATGGGCTGGGCAATTGGAAAGAGTGTAAACCTGATGAGTTCCTGGAGTGCTGGCAAATCTCTACAACCTCCAGAAGATTTAGGTATATATTTGCATCTTTATAAAACTCCTGACAATCTTCTTAAATAATAAGCAAATTTTTTAAAGTACCTAATTATGAATAGTCATAAGCTATTTGAATGTCATAGTGACTAAAGTAAAATCAAGATGTAGTCATATCAAAATATTGTTATAAGACATGTAATCCAAGTACAAACATCTATGGGTAGTAGTTGTCATAAATGTATTTTCCAAGCACTTTTATTATCACGCCACACACCACATAACGCTATTACTAAATATTCTACATAATATTTTATTTAGGTGTGGCAAAAAGTCATCAGTATAAACTTTATACTGGTTTGCTCAGAGCTATTTTAGTGCATACTTTAAAAGAAGAATGCTCAATCAGACTATTATATACTGTGTCCCATATTCCAACTCTGTGCATACCATACAACATGGACATCTAAAATTAAGTTTCATGACATTTCATTTAATGTTCTTTTCAGGTGTAAATGAAAATTCGAATGAAAAAGAAACAGCAGTACCTGAGAAGAAATCAAAATACAGTAAGGCACAGGCTAGACAAAGATATAAGCAAGGAAAACTTTAGTTATAAGAATCTTCTTGATCCAATTTTTATAAGATTTGTTAGATTGTAAGCATGTATCAGGCTTGGTGAGGGTGTTGTGTTGTTAAAGGTACCGCTAGTCCAATGAAATTATCATAAATAGCCCTTATTGCAAAGACTTCTTGAAAAGACATTTTATAAATACAATTATTCATCAATACTGTTGGAGTAAATTAAGGTTTATAATAAAATATTTACCATTTGCTGAAAATTTAATCTGTTTAGTATTTTTATATAGTTATGTTAGTTTTGTACTTAGAACATATTTGATTTATGTTAAATACTGAAATGTTTAAACAATCTGTTTACAATCAGTATTCCTATATTCTGGATGTTTTAAAGAAAATATAAAAATAAAAACGAAAATACATATTTTGTTTTAATGCAACATACATTTTTATTTAGGTCAATTAAAACATAAAATAAAGGGGAAATACTTTATTGATCCTAGTGTAAAATGTATTTCGAAAATTCCAGAATACAATATATCCTTTGAATAAAATTCTTGGTCTCATACCTTATACTTAAAATAAGTTCAACATGTACGGGGATTAAAAAAAATCTGTACAACAATAGGGTACCTACATTTACAATAAATGACTACTGTGGCAAATTTACAATACACATCTGTCCTATAACATTATCCCTGCAGAATGTGGCTATTGGAAGAATCTTATTGTGGAGGTTTGATCAGTTATTATGAGCTTGTTCAATCTTCGCAATATTGTAGCTTATACCACGGCAATTAAGATATTACAACATGTAAATTAAAAATATCTAATAAAACCATGGATATACATAACAGACATAAACTCATTTACACAGTACCAAGGCAAAATTATGCGAGAGTGAACTAGGTACCATTCTTGGAATTGCACCTGTGTAATAACGTAGGGTAACAAACAATGTATTACACATACTACTAATATTTATTGTATTGTAGAGTTGCACTTTGGTGTTTAAAATTACCATTCTTGCTACAAAAGATATGTCAATCGCTATCAGAGATTGCCTTCTTTCTTCGTTTAGCCTGTTTAGGTTTAACTATCTCTTCCTCCTGAAAAATAAAAAAAATATCAACATTAATAACTGGGAACAGAGTTGTTTAAATCTATTAGGATAAACAAAATTAAAAATTTGCGGCAAAACAGTAAAAAGTAGGATTTATTTTTGTGACTGAGGTAGCTCACTAAAAATAGGGGTACCTAATTGGTTCACTACATAAAATCACTTATATTAATCATGTCTTTAAAGGCGTAGTTAGTGATTTATTTTTAATGGACAGTAAAATAGGAGTCTGTTTACCTCACTATCCTCATTAGATGAATGCAGATTCTGGTTTATTGGTAATGAATTTGAAACTAATTTCCTGGCTCGTCTTGAGATAGGCAACTCATCCTCCCACGCCAAAGCGAGTAAATCACTATATTGTCTCTGTAATGAAAATATTTTTATGTTATATATTATTCCAATTTCCCGCCTTCAAAGGGCGGGCGGCTATGTACGTTATTTTGATAGTAAAATAACGGTGAGGCAAGTGATCCGCATGCTTTATTCCTTTCGTATACATTACATAAATTAACTACCGATTGGCGGAAAGACTAAAAGTGCGACTGCTCAGAATCAAATTTAATCTCTGTTACATATAACTTATGTCACTGACAAAATCAGGTGGCTACGTATGCTCTCTGCCTACCCTAACAAGAAACAGAAAGCGTAATGTTTTGTATTAGTTAACTAGGTGCTCGCCCCTGCTTGGCACGGATGTAGGTTAAACTCGCTAACGACAAAAGGGTCGCTATTACCCATTTTCTACTTTTCTAGACTTTCCTTTCATAAGAACCTTTTACACACTTGTAGTTGTTGACAAAACCACAACGAAAACACTTTCCAAAATAGGCCCAGGCGTTGGTGAGTTATACGCTTACCAATCACTGTTTCAATCCATTTTATATTACAAATTAATACAATTAACGAAAAAATGTGTCTAACTAAGTCATGATGCTCTAACTAAGCAAATGATACAACCAAATGTAGTAGGTTCGAATCCAGACTATGGATTCCCAAAGATAACTATAACATTGAACACAAGGTAAATAATCGAATGATTAAATAATTATTATAATATAGATAGTACCTGTAGGTACTTATTATAATAATATATTTTTACATATTATTCTGATAACCAGTAACCTAGATGTTTGAATCAAGTTTATCAAAAGGAATTGTTCAAACGTTTATTAATCCTACAGTCTGATTTGTCCTGTTTTAGTTAAATGTGTATATATTTTCCTCATGCTATATTGTACGTGTTATATCCATAGGTCATCCATGTGCTTTCGAAACAATATTTAAATATACTATGATAATTGTTAATTACTGTAAAATAACTAACCATTTGCGCCTCTAAGCCTTATGGTGTCTTCTTAACGTGTTTTTGTATAATTAATTAAAGAAGCTATTGAGCGAACGGTACATCCAGAAAACCAGAAACTAAGGACATTCGCTTTTATTGAACACGATATTTAACAATACTTGAGAACGCCAGCTTTAAGTAACTTTAAAAATATTAAGCTAGGTTTACATAAGGAAATGGCTTATTTAAGAGAATTAACGTCTTTTTAAGGTAAAGTGTGTATTAACTGTACAGTGTGATTAAAAATTGGGCAGTCCCCTCTATTAAAAGAAAATAATCACACTTTCATTCATCGGTTTGATGTTATACTTATTTGTCGTGCTTCTCTAAATAATTTAAGAAAGATGATTTAAATAATTATTGATATTAGGTAATGCTATTTGATCAAAAATCATAATTGCTGCTTCATATAAAATTCATATACCTACTTAATATTGTCGTATCTGACGTTTTGAAAGAAGTATTGAATTTGACTAGTACTACCCTATTTTATTTCTCAATCAAATAGGCTGAGTAATAAAAAATGAAATGATAATGGAATAACTTAATAATCAGCCTTTACGGTTGGTGCAGTCACAGTATAAATATCATACAGTATTGTAACTCGGCCGCTTGAAAGAAATAAATACCTACAGCCGCGCGGTACGTAAACATGCGTTAGGGCTGCTCGTCTCCAGTATTTTAATTACCTTTGTCTACTTTCTGTTTCCATTTAGTTTTGTGATTGTAAATATCCATTTTTATATAAACAAATAAAGTGCTTTAAAAATAAACAAACAAAATTTCTTTGGCCACTAATGCCGAACTGAACAGCTGACTACGAATGTTCTAAAATCACAACCCTCAAACATCAAAATATAACATGAGTCTAGCTGTTTTATTGTTGTTATTAAATATTTTCTAGTATTATTCATAAACGCAGATAATAAACAAATATTATTAATAATAAAATACCACACTCTTTACTTTGAATTATACAAACTAACAAAACATACATGAACCGTTTTAACACAAGCGTAAGTAGGTACCTAACGTATCATGATTCATTCAGAACCAGAACCGCCTATAACTACCTATTTCACTCGTATCAATAACTTTATTCATATTATTTATAAATTCAAACATCTGTTTTCGTGAGATAACTAGAAATAATGATCCATAAAGACACACATTATGTACCTACCTAGGCTACTAGTAAGTAAAATTATTTTATAGTCCTACCTTTCAGAGTTTCCAGGTAATTTAAAAAAAAACTTATGTCTGGATGCGTTATTGACGAATTCATGCAACCAAACATAATAACAGCACAATATTTCCTATTTGTCATATTAAATAATGTACTCGAGCTGATTTCTAAATAAAAGACAACACACCGTCCGTTCGTCATTGCGGTACAGCCGCGTCTGTCTGCGTCCCGAGCGCGTCCCGACATCGGGCGCGTAGGTATAGTTCGCGTTTCGGCCGTTTCTATGAAGTTGAAATACTTGTAGATATTATTACCTTGGTGCAGTGGCCGAGCAACCCGTTGCTGCGTAAGTCGTGGGTTCAATTAGAAAATACAATATTATTATTCCAAGCCCGGGTTTGATGTGACATTGTGACATACAAATTTATGCTTGTAAACGCGCCAGTTACTACGCTGTTGTGTAGTGACACAGAAGAAAATCCTTAATATGGGTAATGGTGTTTTAAAAGAGAAGAAAAGGAAAAATGAATAAAACCTTACCCTTAAACTATCACTACTATTCGACAGCGCCTGGTGAAGTGCTTTCTGCATGCACTCCATATTAAAAATTGACATGTCATTTTGTTCCACACAGCATACTCTCAATTGCTCTAAATGACCAAGCACCTGGAAAAAAAAGTACAAACAAATATGAATTATAGGAGCGTTTCTATAGATCCGCTTTTTGTTTTTCGCCTTTGGTTTCCATTTATGTAAATGAGGCTGAAATTATCTATTAAGGTATTTATGTGTTTGTATTGTATCTTTAAGTGCTAATGTCGAACTTGGGTCGTTATTACATAATTAACATTATCATAGTTTATGGCGCCGGTGCTTCATCTGGTAGATCATGAAGCTGAGGGCTCCAACGCCAACGCAAGTTGTTTAAATTTGCTTGATATGCATGACCAAAAGCTTTGGGAAATTTATATCTATAACTAATATTACAAAGAGGTAAAATTTGTAAGTTTGTATGTAGGGGGTAATCTTTGGAACCACTAGTCGGTTTCACAAAATTCTTTCACTTATTGATAGCTACAATGTTCCCAAGTACTATAGGCTATAAAACATCACGCTACAATCGAATGGAGCTGGGCAGCGAGTGAAACCGCGCGGGAGAAGCATATATATGATGATATATATGATGATGATGAAGAAGCATATATATGATGAAGTTCTTTTTATAAGTTTATAAATTAAAAACGAGGAGTATTGTGTAATACTAAAAATCTTTAAACCATATTTATACACATTTGAATGAACAGGGCTATGATAAGGATCTAATTGAGTTCTTAGAAAAAAAACAATATTTACCAATTCAGCTGAAGGTGGAGCATTAGG